TATCCTCCCCATTCACCTGCCCACTCCCTCAAGTACACACACCAAGACCTATTTTACACTTCTGTCCTACAGTTTTTAATTGCATGTTCATTATTCAAAGGGTTTTTCCCATAGTATCTCATCTGTGAATATCATGTACTTTATACATTAAACCCTCTCTTAATCCCCATTACTCATTCCCCTACCCACTATTATTCAACAGTTACAGTGTATTTAACCATAGCATATTCATAAATTAATACAAGGTATTTAGAAACATCATTGTGATTACAATTTGCATTTCCCTAATGGCTGGATAATTTGAGGAAGTTTCATTTGTGCTTTACCAATATGAATGTGCTTTTTCCTATAATATCTATTTATGTCTGGTGCCCATTTACTAATCAAGCTATGTGTTTCCTGGTGATTAAATAGTTAGTTTCTGTATATATTTGGACACAGGCTCCAAATGAGTAGAAAGTTTTTAAAAAATTTCCTCACAGTCTGTGGGTGGTCTTCACTTTGTAATCCTTCTCTTTGGTATGAAGAAGCTGGGCAACATGATGCTATATTGTTTGTATAATTTAACACAGTTCTTATCTTATTGGGTTCTGACAATGAAATCATTGAAAGTGTTGTAGATTGGAGTGTATCAGAAACAGAGTGAGAAGGGAGAACTCCACCCCATGGCCCCAGGTTCTCATTGCTGGTAGAGAAAGTACTCAAGGTGACCCAAATAAAAATTAGGTTGTAACTTATTGCAAAAGAAAGCAAAACCCCCAGGAGAAAATGAGGACTTCTAAAAGAACTCACATGTTTGAGGATTTGCTTGGTGGTTTACATTAATCTGTGGGTGGGGTACAAGGTTGCATAAATTATTTTATGACTATCCCACCTTGACAAGGAATATTCCTTTCTATGACATGTCAGGCTGCAGGTTAGAAGGCAAGAGGTCAGTAAGTGCAGATGTTTTTGCTTCAAATTGAGTAAGTTCTGCAAATCAAATCTTTCTGAATAGCCAGTCTGGAGTTGCTTCCTTGCCTTGTACTGAAAATGAATTGTATGCACTGTACATTGTTTTGTGGATTAATGAGTAGAACCTGTTATGGAAGAAGTTTCCAGGACATTGCTAACATTCAGCTGTGTCCCTGAGTCCATCCACGTGCCACAGATTTCTCCCTTCATGGGCTGAGCAGAGGGAAGACACTTGTACCTTCCTCTGGGTCCTCAGGAAGATAGCACAGGGACAAGGGTGGTCACTGTGAACTCTTCCTGCAGGATTTACACACATGTGCAGATACTGATATGCATGCTTCTGACTGCACAGAAGATGAAAATTATCCATTCACTGTTGCTTATCCTTCTTTCTCCTTTTCACAGATAGGACAGTACAATAAAGAACAGCCTCCTGATGGCCCCCAGGCATATATGGTTCAGCTGGTTGAAGTCAGGATGATGGCATCTCCTTGTCTCTCCTCTAATTCTCTAGTAAGAAAACTCAAGGTAAATGGATCCTCAATGAACCTCCAAGGAGAAGACACTGTTAGCTGCAATGAGGGCCTCTCAGTCTCACTGGTCCCAAATCATTTAATAACTCAGGAATAATTGTGTGTGGAGGACCCTGGTCCAGAGGGACAGGAGCAGACATGGGACCCTTACCTAAGGGCACCTATACAGCTCATTACAGACCTGTCTCCTCCTCAGTCTGAATTCTTAGTCCACCCATTGGGGTCAGGATGTTGGTGACAGGAATGAAATTTTCCCTGACCTCCATGCACTCCTTGATTGAGAAGCCCAGCACAGACTCTGGGTCATGACTGCTGTGCCATAATGGACAATTTGTGTTCCACACTCCTACTACTGACTCTCCCTTTCTGTGAGTGCTATACAGGGCTTCCTCAGGTAAGAAAGCTTCCTGTCCTTACCTGAACATACTTCACCTTCTGCTTGTGTTTCACCACAGGACTCTTGTCCCATGGTTCTTGTCCCAAGTCACCTTGAAGGAATCTGGCCCTGGGCTGTTACCACCCTCTCAGTCCCTCATGCTGACCTGTTCCTTCTCTGGCTTTTCACAGTCCACTACTATCTTGGGTGAAGGCTGTATACATCAACCAGCACTGATGGCTATATAGTAGCTAGTACAAATTTGGTGAGATATACTTGTTACTGTAACCCACCTCTTAAGAGCCAGCCAACCATCTGCAATAATATCTCTAATAGCCATGTCCTCCTCACAATGACCAGCCTGGATCCTGCTGATATGGCCACCTATTGCTGTGCTCAGATAGTACAGAATCACAACCATGGGTAAATTCTGCACAAAATCCCAGGCTATGCCTCAGCCCTGCTCCCTCCGTTGTGTATCAGTATATTGTGGAGGATGTGCCCATCCCTGTCCCTTGTGGCTTGTCATGAAGTGAACTACTATATTGTTTTAAGGTTAAAGTTGAAAGGTGCCTGGTGCCTAGGACAGATGGGTCACTGATAAGTTGCAACCTGATGCACAGGCTCACATCCTCACAACAGAGCAACCCATATTACAATGCTTTGACCTCCTTGAATTCTGGAGTGGACTAGATCACCCTTTAGAGGATAGAATGCATGAGGACTTACAGAAATACAAACAGAATATCTGTTGTATTGAAGAAGATTTTCTAGGATCCACTTGCACAAATAAAATTCATGAGAGGATAAACAGATTTAATTTGTCCCTATCCTACCCAATCAGTGTACATGAATCACCGGGATTATGGCACCTGATACTGATAAGCTTGCATCCAGGAGTGAATTATGGTGTTAGGTAAGTTGGAAGTCTTACACTGTGAACAGAAAATGTGAAATCAGTCTGATCTCACACTTCATTAATCTTATTACCATTTTTGTATTAAGTGAGTGACACCGAATTTTACTATGTTGGAAAGTTTTCCATTAGTAGCTCAATCATCTGAGATAATCAATTTGTAAAGAAGAAGGTTTTACTTTGTCCTTTACATTTAAAGGTTTCTTTTGTTGTTGGTTGTCCTCATATGTTGTGTCTGTGGTGCTGCATCAACATGGAGTGTTTGTCTGCAGAGCCAATCCCTGAACAGAGAGAGAGAAGCAAAGACTGCTGGGACCTGTGATCCACTTCAAGTCCAGTCCCCTAATGGCCCCCACCAGGGCCCACCTCTAAAAGTTCCACTACCTCCCTACAGTCCCATGGTGAGGCCCATACATTACAACATAGACCTTTTTCTTGGAAACTGAACAACACACTGTTAAAAATTAAATGGATGACTGAAGTCATAAGTAAAAAATTCAAAAAATTCCTACAATCCAATGAAAATGAAAAGACAATGTACCAATCTGTGGAACACAGCAAAGGCAATGGTAAGGGGAAATTTCATACCTATAAGTGCCTACATTAAAAAATGGGGACCAATAGTGTATTGGAGTGTATTGAAGCCCCCTCTGGTTTATCTTTCTTTACAAATAAAGTGCCATGAGGTTTTACCCTTCTGCTCTCCCCTCCCTTTCTTTCCTGCTTCCTTGTGTCCACTTTACAACATCTACTGTTCTACAGTTACCCAGTGTTGATCACAACTCCATTTTGTAAAAAGGATGTGCCTGTATTTGTGGGTGAGGAATACAAGCCTTTCAGCTCAGTAACTGAAGATACTGTCATTTTCTAACTTGCTTTATTTATGTTGCTTGGCTTATTCCATTATCTGAAGTAGTGAAGAAAATATGATAATTTCCAACTTCTCCAGTCTAGCCTATGTTGCAGTGTATGAAAAATAATATACATCTAAACTGCCTGCATCTTCAAAAAGCAGCCAAATCGTCAAACAATTCTCTTTAATATATTGATTGAAGAAATACCAATCAGCACAATAAATGAATATGTACTACAAACAACAAGATTAAAATCACAAGCATTCCTACTTAGTAAAATGCACAATGCATAGTACATATTTTATGACACCATTATTGCACATTATAGAACAATATAACGAATTAAATTGTCACAAAGAAGATCAGGAGTTATTGAAGGACAGGGTGGAAAAATGAATTTGTAGAAAGGAGCAAGAACATAAAAGCAAGAGGAAATTCTGAGGGTAATTGATGTTTCATGACTTCGTAATAGTGATGGTTTGGTGGACCATTATCATATTGTATATATCTACATATGCAAGATAATATGCATATTATCATTCATTACACCTATTCCAATAATTAACAGTATGGTTTGGTAGATAAGGAGTGAGAGATAATAACACAAAAATGTAAGAGACTCTGAGTGGATGCTTGACAGAATCTCCATTCGTGATCTATGTTTAGGGAAACAAGGATGAATGAAAACCAAGTCATGTTCTCTACAGAGGAAGAGTTGTGGACAGTATCACTAAGCATGTCCATCTCTGCCCTGGATTTGGTGCAGTGGTAGCTGAGAACTATGAGAAGGATTGCAGGTCCAAATGGTCGACTTTTTTCAGATAAGAGATCTTAGCAATATTACCAAGCCCTTCTCTTCTTCTATGTTCATAACTGTAAAATGTAAGATGAGACGAAAATGATTGATTTATGTCCATATAAGCATTGAAATAAAATAATGAGCATTCCATAATTATCACACACAAAAACAAGACAAAGATTATGCTCCCTAATTGTTATCAATTAATACTAATTTCATTCAGCACACGACATTAGCCATGAACAGTGGCTTCTCTTTGACATACAACCACAGAGCCTGCTATATAGTAAGAAGAAATGCAAATAAGAATTTGTTCTGTCCATGTAAACCAGCCCAGCCCTGACCCTGCAGCTCTGGAAAAAGAGCCAAGCCCTGGATTCTCCGCTGTTCCCATTCAGTTATCAGCACTGAACATGGGCCACTCACCATGGAGTTGTGGTTGAGCTGAGTTTTCCTACTTGTTATTTTAAAAGGTGATTTGTGGAGAACAAGAGATACTGAGTAGTAATGGATGAGAGGAGTAGTCGATGTATGTTCGTTTTCTTACTAGGATTCTCTGTGTTTTCAGGTGTGCAGTGTGAGGTGAAGCAGGTGGAGCCTGGGGGAGGCTTGGTGCAGCCTGGAGGAGCTCTGAAACTCTCGTGTGCAGCCTCTGGATTCACCTTCAGTGATTTCTACATGGACTGGGTCCATCAGGCTCCAGGGAAGGGGCTGGAGTGGGTTGCTCACATTAGAAACAAAGCTAATAGTCACACCACAGAATACAATGCATCTGTGAAAGGCAGATTCACCATCTCCAGAGATGATGACAAGAACATGCTTTATCTGCAAATGAACAGCCTGAGAGATGAAGACACAGCCATGTATTAATGTGTAACAGACACAGTGAGGAGACTTCATTGGGAGCCCTGACACAAACCTCTCCTCAGTGGTGCTCACAACCAGCAGGTGATGCTTAGCACACATGGCGCTCTACCTCAGCCTCAGGATCAGGTGCAGACATGAGTCCAGTGCTGTTCTCCAGTGTGTCTAGGCAGCCTGGTTGTCCATACTTTTCACAGGGTCTTCCCTTGATCTATCGTGTATTGTATGTGAGATGTCTCTGAGTATAAAACGTTTTTATATTTGCTGATATTTAAAAATTTGGGGATGAACATTTTGAAGGAACACTGGATGCATGTATGGAATAAGGACAATGATAACCCCTCATATTTTTAATGCATGTCAATTCTAAACAAACACTTAAAGTAAAATATAAGAGATATCCTCACATATCACATGTCACATGTCATCTGGATGAGATCTCAGGATGCATAGAATACTGGTGACTCTTTCCCCAAGAGACTATGGGTCTCAGTGAGATCACTGGTTAGTACGAAGTGGAGATTCATTTTGCAAACAACAGACTGGAACACTGATACACTGCACAAAACAGGTCTCAAATCTTTCCCTCTTCCTTCTGTAGAATTTTTCTTCTTATCAGGCTCAGAATTCAATTCTACTGCTTTAGCTGATTCATTTTCTTACTTAAGAACTCTTATTCTTACATCTTCCCTTTCTATTTTTTCAAACAGAAATTACAGTTTTTGACATTTGTGTTCTAAATCCCAGAGCTCAGTGTCGTACCTGGAGCTCTGATGTGGATCAAGCTCTGGCTCCAGAAGGACTGGGCAAAGGCGGCTCTGGTTCTTTAGTACACATTATCCATGGACATTCTGCTATTCTCTGTGGAAAAATGCTTGTTGGACATGTGGGTGGACATTAGGAATTGGAGGTAAGACTGACCAGGTTACATCATATGTGGTCATGGAGCTGACTTTGTTCTATCTTGTCTATCATGGAGTCACCTCACTTTGTGTTTTTGGGGAGATCTGGAGATGGGACACCACACTGTGATGCAATCTCTTATGACAGCATATAGTTCTTTTGTGAGCCATGTCTTGTGGCTCCACTGTCATCACTCTTCTTGAATTAGAGAACAACAGGAAGATGTGACTGTGAGACCCTGTGGTGGAGAAAAAACTCCAGAGGCTGAGAGAAAATGGCACATCCTACACACTATTCTGATCCACAAAAGAGGGAACTGAGCTGAGGCCTAGCCTGGAATTTTGTGCAGAAGGAGCCCAGGATGTGTCTCTGTGGTATCTGAGTACAGAATTAGTTGGCCATGTCAGGATGGTTGATATGTCACATGTCATTGTGAGGAGGACAATGCTGTTAGAGCTATCATTGCAAAAGGTAGTCTAGCTTTTAAGGGCTGGGTTGCAGTACTTGCAATAGCTCACCAAATGTATGCTATCTATTCTATGCTCATTACTGGTAGTTGACACTCACTCCTGTTAGGATTGTTACCAAGAAATTACAATTACTGGACAAGATATGGAGAAAGGGCAGGACTTGTCTTGGTGTGGATGAACACTGCCATGGCTCAAAATATTATTTGCAGTAGCCAGGAACTGTACATAAATGTCCATAAGAAGAATAGATGAAGAAGAAACCAGGGAAGTAGGTCAGAGTGGAATACTATTTACTCATAGAAAGATGGAAACACTGTCACATGTGACTCCATGGTTGGACACGGAGAACCTCAGGTTAAGAGAAATGAGCCAGGGACAGAAAGACAAGTACCATATGGAAGAATCTAAATAAAGTTGATTGCATAGAAGCAGAGTGTAGAATAATGATTACCAGGGAGAAGGAGAGAGAAAAGGATAGGGAGAGGCTGGACAATGGCTACAAATTAGTAAGCACACAGGAGGAGGAAGTTAAGGTGTTGATAGTGTGGTGATAGTTAACAGCAATGTACATTGTTTGCCAAGAGTATAAGAGTGATGTTGAATGGACCCATCTGTAAAAGATAAACTAAAACGTGATTGTTGTGTAATTACTCAGACTTGATCATTCCAGGACATACACATGTACTGGATCATCACTCTGTGCCCCACTGATGTGGAGCATAATGTGAAATTGATATGTGTAAATGAAATGTAAACTTATAATAATTAATAACGAAACAGGACTCTTATTCAATGTATTCACTTACGAAATAATTAGCTCATTTGAAGTTCTTAATACCTTGGCCTGTTTCCAAAAATCATAACTCTCATAGATCTGTGAAAATCACTTTGCAGTTCCCATAATTGGTAGTTGTGTATTATTTGGAATTCTTCAATCATTCTTGGATTCTTTATCATGAGTTCAAGACCCAAATATTCACTTTCTTGACTTTTACTTCTTGGTGTTTTGTAAAAATAAATGATAATAATCCTTCCCAAAAGGACCAAAAGAAGTTTTCCCTGCTTTGATCTCCAATACACCATTATTAATGAGAGGAAACAAGACTCTGTGAAGAGGTGGTGATAAAGCAGCTTCAATCTGTTGGTGAAGAGTGTGCACAGTGCAAGAAACCGTACCTGTATATCCTTCCACATCTGAGTGTCACAGATGTTGGATCTAAAATCTCTGTACTTCTTGCCCTCACACTCACCAACCACAATGTGATTTGTGTGTCCTGGAAAAGGTGGACTGTTCACAGTAAGTGGTGAGTGAAAATCATGGGAAAAAGGACCTTCCTTTGTCCATCATCTGGAAGGACTGGTCTCCTTCCTGAAGAATTGCATCAGGACATCAAAAAAAATGGAAGGAATACAGAGACACACGGACATCCCGTGTGGTGTGGTGGTTGAAGATGGTTAACCTAAGGATTCCTGGGATCCCTAGAGTCTTTGGTTATTGCAAGTCATACAATAAATACTGTATCTACCATTGACTGTTAACAGCGGGAAGCCAGGTCACAGGAACTTTGTTCTCCCTCTTTTATACTCACATGCAGGGTAAATCCTGCATGCAAATCCCAGTTACATTACCAGAAGAAGCTGCACATTTACATAAATTGAGAATTTCCTACACCCTGGAAATAGTTTTTGGCAGTTATGGATGTCATCCCCCAAAACATGAAACACTTATATGTCTTTGTTTTCCTGCTGGTGGCTACCAAAGTGACTGTCTCCAAGATTAAGGCTGGATGACATGCAGATACTACTTGTGAACTCATGACTAGCTGTGTTTTTCTGTCCTCAGTGACCTGTCCCAGTGCAGCTGCAGGAGACTGGACCTGGCCCAGTGCAGCTCACATAGACCATGTCCCTAACTTGTGCTGCCTCTGCTTCCTCCACCAGCAGAGGCTATTGGTTGTATCAAAACCACCAGCTTCCAAGGAAACAGTTGGAATGGATAGTGCAAATCTATATAGATAGAGACATGATATATGTACTCTCCCTCATGTGTTGAGTCACCATGACAGTGGATACAACCATGAATCAGTTCTCCATAAGCCAGGGCTCTGTGAACTCCAACGACATGGCTGTGTATTCCTGTATAAGGCATGCAATGAGAGGAGTTCAGCATGACACCTGTAACAAACATCACTGCAAAGAACAGGAAACCTGTGCTAAAGGAGGCACTCAAGGCTCATAAAACATGGGGTCTCATCCTCGAAGCAGGTGCAGGATGGAAGGGCCAGGTACTTCCTATTGTCTTTAGGGGTTATCTCTCATATACAAAATCTCAGATTTCACAGGAGTTGTATCTGTTCTATCACATTCTCACTCTGGCAGCAAAGAAGCAAGTTAACTTTCTCTGTTTATGGATGTACTGGGCACAGAATCTAGGAACACAATTCAGCAACTCCAAATTGCTTTTCTTCCTTGACAAACAAAATACCCCCATGGATGCTCATCATCCCTAGACTGATGTGTTCCTTAAAAACAACATGAAGAAACCTATGTGACAATGTAGCCTAATAGGGACCTAGTTTATGTTCATTGTGGAACTATAGGCTGGGATCCAACACAGAGATCTATGAGAATTCCAGATGGGAAGAAAGAAAGAAGGTCGCCATTTGATTATTATCTAACCAGGAAGAAACACTAGGAACCAAGGACACTGACACACTTATATTCGAATTCCAACCAACAGAAATGTGAATGAATAATTCTGCTGTTAAGATACCCAGGCTATTGTGTGTTGAATTCTGACAGTCTGAGCTGTTATATGCTGTCAGGAATGATTTTGCAGATCAGGAACACCACAACTATGTCTGCCATATATCTCAGAGAGGTAAACACCGGTACTAGGTGGGCTTTCTTATGCCTCTCCACTTCTGTCCTTCAGGTCCCTGTGTCCTTCAGTTGTTGTGCCACTTGCTGTACATGCACACTGGGGTCCTTGATGGTCAGTGTTTCCTTTTCCCCATTCACTCTTCAAGTCCATAGGTGAAAGACTCCATGTGTGCTGAGAGCACAGGTTCCAGAATCTCCATGAGGGAGGAAGGAGGACACACAGAGATGAAACCCCTGGCATTCCTAGTGGCAATTGTTCAGGGAGAAGATCTGAGTGCAATCGTGGGGACTGTGTGCTAAGATGAGTCCCTCAGCTTCCACACGGAGAATCCATATTAATAGGGATAAATGAGAATGAGATAGATGAAGGCCAGCATATGCCCATTCTTCCCTGTCCTGAGTACACCAAAGAACTTCAATCCATCATCTCAATTACATTCCAGCAACTGAATTCAGACAAAATTTGTCCTTAGACCCTGAGCTCCATTTGACCAGAGCTCTGCTCCCTTTCACCATTTGTTATCTCATCTTTGTGGCAATGAAGATGACCCAGAAAATTCAGCCATCATGACACCAAACCCATTTTATATGATCCACTCTACTTACAGGAATTCCACATTTTTAATCCACATAGGTGTAAGACCATGCAGTCTTGTCTGTCTGTGTCCAGATTATTCCACTTTACATAAAATCAACTGGTTTATCCATGTTTCCAAGAATGACAGAATTTACTCTTTGGGAAGTTGAATA